GCAGATACTAAATTATATGCGAAGCTGTTGGCTTCACGTATAAAGCCACTACTACTAAACATGGTCTCACCGGAACAAGCAGGATTTGTCCCACTTAGACAACCAGGCGACAACACTCGTCATTTCCTAAACCTAATCCAATGGGCACAATCGACCCAACAACAGGGCATACTACTAGCGTTAGACGCGGAAAAAGCGTTCGACCGCCTCAATTGGACATATATGCTGGAAGTACTTTCTAAAATGGGGTTTCCCACCTCCATTCCAAAATAGCATAATGGCCCTTTACTCAAGTCCAATGGCCAAAGTATATAACACGGGCTTTATTTCCAAGCCATTCCAAATCACGAATGGGACCAGACAGGGCTGCCCTCTTTCCCCATTGATCTTCATCCTATGCATGGAACCACTGATTAAACACATAAAAACGACAGACACAATTAGGGGACTGACTACTCCGATAGGTGCCATGAAAATAGCACTATTCGCAGATGACACCCTGCTGTTTATCACAAAACCGTCCCAATCTCTGCCCCACTTAATGACACTACTAGACAGATACGGCAGGGTGTCATACTACAAAAACAATGCGAAGAAATCACAAGCTTTAGCCCTCCGCCTGCCCCAACGCACTTTACAAAGTCTCAAAGCTAAATACCCGTTTGATTGGCGAAAAACGTCAATCTCATATCTAGGCATCCAACTACCCGCTTCATCTGCTACAATACCCAAAGTCAACCATATTCCACTCCTGCACAAACTAGACTCCCAGCTTAGACAATGGGAGGACAAAGGCGCATCATGGCTGGGTCGTATCAATACGGTGAAGATGATGATCTTACCGCACATCCTATATCTCTTTAGAACCCTGCCTATACAGATTCCAAACGCATTGCTTAAAAGATTCCAATCCACTATAAATGCACATATATGGAATAGGAAGCCCCCCCCGCATCTCCCAAAATCTTCTCTGGCGGCCCTTCTCGAGAGGAGGCCTGGGCGTACCCAACATACAGCTATACTACCGAGCCTCAATAATGGCACAGGGTATAACGATACTAGAACGATCGACACCTCCCATATGGCTAGCACTGGAAAACGCAAGTCTGACACAGGGAACTATAGAAGAAGCACTGTGGGCTAGTTGCTACCACCGGTCACTACATCCTACCATGTTACCCACTACGGACCAAATGCTCTGAACCTGGTCGAAAGTAGCCCACAAAATAGGAGCAAGTAGGGACCTCCTGTACGCAGCACCCCTAAGGACACTAACACTATACACGACTGACATGTGTCTAGATGCATGGACTAGCCACGGCATCTCCCATGTATACACTCTACTCGACTCCAAGGGCATACTACCCTTTCCAACACTGCAACAGACCTTCACCCTTCCCTCCAGAGAATTATTCACATACCTACGCGTAAAGAATATACTTTACGAACAGAAATTACTCAATGACGGTACAGCCCCCAAATCACGATTTACCCTCAAATGCCAAGGGAAACTAAAAAATACCAAAGCCCTGTCCCTCTGCTACACCTCTCTCATGCAACTGGGAGACAAGGAACTCACCCCAAACATGCGCCTCTGGGAAAAGGACCTGAACATAAACATCCACCCAAAAGCATGGCAGTTAGCTTTAGAGAGAGTCAAAAAATCCACCCATAGCTTGGCCCATAGAGAAGCATTCTGCAAATTAACAATGAGATGGTACTTAGTACCCACGCGCCTGGCGCACATATTCCCGGGCACAACTCCCCAATGCTGGAGATGCCAAGAGCACGAGGGCACGCTATTCCATATATTCTGGTCATGTCCACTCATTACAAAGTTGTGGGATGAAGTGGAACAGTTTCTCCTAACGAAAGTAAAAATCAAGGTCCCAAAAACCCCGGCAAGCTACCTTCTACATTTGTTTCCCCACTCCCCCAGCAACGACGAACTACAGATTCTTACCCACTGCCTTATAGCAACAAAAATAACAATAGCACATAGGTGGAAACAAACTCAATGCCCAACTTTAACAGAAGTCCTGACGAGATTAGACACGACAAGTAAATATGAGTTGATGGCCAGCCGTATCCGGAACAAAGAACATGAGCACTCCAAATGCTGGCAGAAATGGACGCAGATAAGGGATCAATGTATGTGACGGCTATCTTACAGACTTAGACAATAACGTTGTAGCAAGAAAGACAACACCACGGTCTAAACTGCTACCGCACTATGTTCCCCCCGCCCCCACTACACCGACAGCACCCAGGCCATGGAGATCACCTATGACTGGGGAAGTACAAGATGGATAGCTCCTTAGAACGCCAACAATAGCACAGAAGACCCAACAGACAAAATGGCCACATAGGTGACCCCAGACGCAATAGTGCTAACATACAAAATGCAGAAACCACATCCCGAGCTGACCACCTATAGCTTTTAAGGTGAACCCTGGCGTTATAGGTCACTAGAAGCCACCCTTGGCATTAGCTCACCTAACACTTGACGACCTTTACTCAATTAACAACACCCCAAGAAGCGCCCCAACCAACTGACCAACCCACCACTTGATTAATATATATATGATGGTATTAGAAAAGGAACGGGCAAACGAACTGAGAAGTATTTATGTTCTGCATTGCTGAAAATATGTCGGGAACTGTTGTCTATGTTGTCTATGTGAAATATGTACATGCTCCCCCCCCCCTCTTTTTATTTCTGTACCCCTCTAAAGTTGATATGCAGTATCACATGAAACCAATAAAAATTGCAGACAATGGGAAAAAAAAACGCTCACAGAGGCCATTGGTCTGGGGATGATATGGAGCGCTTAATATGGGGTTTACCCCACAGCTCTGCCAGAGCTGTTGGGTAACCACCGCTGTGAATTGGGTTCCCTGATCTGACACTATCTCCCTAGGGAATCCCACCCTAGTGAACACCTGAACCAGTGCTTCCGCCACCGTCTCTGCATGTATATTTGACAGAGCTATTGCTTCTGGATAGCGGGTCGCGTAGTCCACCACAGTAAGAATGTATTTCTTACCTGATGGGCTGGGTTTGCTGAGTGGCCCGACTAAATCGATGACCACCCGGAAAAATGGTTCCTCGATGATGGGTAGGGGACGTAGTTTTGCCTGGGGGTGATCCCCTCTCTTGCCTACCTTTTGGCATACTCGCAGGTCCAACAGTAATCCTGTAATTCCCTAGTGACCCCCGGTCAGAAAAATGACTGGGTGAGTCGGTCTCTAGTCTTTTTTATGCCTAAGTGACCTGCTAGGGGAATATCATGGCTAATCCGCAATAATTCCACCCGACACTTACGGGGTACGATTAACTGTCGTTTTTCTACCTGGCCCGCTCCTTTCCCTGTCCCCCCGGTCACCCGGTATAGTAAACCCTTTCCCCAGGTAAATCTTGCCTGATCTCCATCTCCCTGAGGTTGGTCTGCCTCCCTCTGATACCCTCTTAGTGTGGGATCCTCCCGCTGGGCTTGCTCAATGTCTTGAGGGGTACCCCAGTAAGATGTATGGTCAGGGTTAACTGTCAGGGGGTTATTGCTTACCTGGTCATTGGCTGAGGGGGAGGCCTCCATAGCTCTGGATTGCTGCCGGGTGGTGACAGGTAGTGCTCCTTCTGGACTGAGGGCTGCCAATTGCGACGTCAAGCACCCTAGATCATTTCCCAACAATACTTCCGCTGGTAAATCTGGCATGATGCCCACTTCCACAGCCTTAGCCCCAGTACCCCAATCAATGTGTACCCGAGCTGTTGGTAGTTTATGAATTGCCCTTCCGGCCACCCTTACAGCAATGGTGCGTCCTGTGTGCTGTGACGGGGTGACCCTGTGCGGCTGAACCAGGGTAATAGTAGCCCCGCTGTCTCTTAGTCCCTTAGCTTCTTGCCCATTTAACTTCACCGACTGGCGATGGTGTGCCCGGTTATCCCCAGCAGCTTTTACGGGGCTCACCTCATGTAACGTGGACCAATTTTCGCTGTTGTTACTGAGCGCCCCTTGAGCCGGAGAGTCGTAATCTTCTTGTACACAGTGTGCATCCCATCGAGGCCCCTGAGCTCTGCCGAAGACCTACGCCTATCCTCTGTCCGTACTCTCACATCTGATGCTCGCCTCCAAGACTTCTCCAAGGCGTGTGTTAGTCCACCCATTGTACAGCGCAAATTTGCTGGCGCTATATAAATAAAAATAATAATAAACAGGGAAAATACAGCAGTTCTATTGTCATTCCTAAAAATGTATACTACAAACCTACACCTAAAAGATGTGCAGTAGCATCAGCTATAGCTAGATATCTTCTAAACACGATTTATTTATATATATATATATATATATATATATATATATATATATATATATATATATATATATATATGAGAAAGGCTTGGCCTGTAATTGTGGGAAGGACTATGACCCCTATTTAAACCCAGTGAGCCCCTGCTTACCTGTCATCAACGATCTCGGAAGTTCTCCTGTTTACTTCTGGTTCACAGGACCCTGATGTCATTTTCCCACCCGCCGGCAGTCTGTTGCTAAATTTCTTTCTTTTCTATGTTCGTGAGTATAACAAAGAAAGCCAGCACACGAACGGCTAACTGTAAGTTATACTAAGTTCATTCTAATGCACCCTCGTTAAACCACACGTTCGTTTAAACTTTCCGTTCGGCTGTAACTTTCATCCTAAAAACCTTCATTAAAAATACGGCACTTCATGTAAACTGGCATTCGTGTAAACTTCAGTTTCTTTCCTCACATAGCTCCAATTCGTACAGTATCTGTTAAGTCCGTTCGACTAAAATGCCATACCATTCATTCATACGTTACTGCCTGTAACGGCTATCCCAGTGGAGAGTAAGGTAGAGCTCTTAAAAGAGCTACTGATTTAGCAGAGCAGGTTCCCTTTCAATAACGAGACAAAGCTACGTTTTGAAGGGTAAAGTAGAAGTGAGGTTTTAATGACAGGTACTCTCCAGTTATGCAGTGCTTCCATGCAAGGGAGACAGCCACAGATAATTAGACATTGACCAATCATACAATGGTTACAACCCACAGATTTCCTCCCCTCTGCTTGGGAGATAATTGAGTTACTTACTGTATCTACTCAATTATCTTCAAACTAAAAAAATATACTTTTTTAAAAAAATTTATAACTTTCCGATTTTTCAACATACAGGAATAAAACATATGTTTATGAACAACTCAACTTGGGGACAAACATATTCAAAATTCGTGCAAATCCGTTCGGTGGTTCAGGAGATAGTAAAAAGTCTCTTGAACCGACCGCACTCCTGTGTGTATGTCCAAAACAGTTCCACAGATTCCGGCTGTGCAGTCGGTCTATTCTTTCATGTGACGAAAGTCCCAATTTGCACAAATGTATTAATTCATGCTTAGTCTCTTTGGATACAGCTAGTTCATGAGTTTATTTTAACGAAAGAGCGCTCTGTTCGCATGACTTTAGCCAAACACACGGAGGATGGAAGTTTCAGCGGTGTTCGTGGAAAAGTCTAGCCGAAAATAGTTACATGCGGTCGACGACCAAAACACCACTGAGTGCGTTCAACTAAACAAAATGGCCGCCGCCACTTGTTCGTGCAAACGAACGCCGACCACCCTGTATACCAATTAAACCCATGGCGTGTTCGTGGTTTTTACGGTGATATTAGAGTCCGGGCAGGTAAATGAGTGCCACACTTCTATTCTGGGTGGTCAGGCGTTCGGTACAAAATTCGTTATTCGAACGTTCTCTTATTGTATATGCATTAAACGAAAGCCATTACACGAACAGTCTTTGTTCTTAGGTACAGGGCCATGTGGATGATGGCAGGAAAAAAGGTTGAGGTTCCCAGGCAACATTGTAGGGGGTTGTTACACTGCCTTTCATGTAAAACCCGCATTTCGGGCAGTCTTTCGTATCTTTCCTCACATAGTTCCAATTTGTATAATATCTGTTTAAGTCCGTTCGTTTAAATGTCATGCATAACCATTAATTCATACACTGATGCCTTTCATATAAACCCACTTTTCGTGCAAATTTTCACGCTTACAATTCACTCGTACTATGCAATGGTAGTTCCATTTGTTTGTTCAGCCGGTCATAGCTTTGCATTTATGATTACTGCATTAAGTGCAAAAATTCATCTGGTTCCCCAAGTCTTTCGTTTAAAATTCCAATGTTACAAATTTATCCCTAAACAAATTGCATATTTGCTAATGGCTGTTATGTTCTCACAAAGTTCTAAAGTACTTTGTTATACCTTTTCGGCTAAACCCTGCAGACTTTAGAGCAATAGTGTACATATTTACATAGGAATTTTAAGTATGTTAAATAGCATAATTAGGTGACCGCTCTACGCTCCAGTTCTGATTTCTAATATTTTACAGTCATGCTCCACTAATGCATTTATGTTATACAATTTCATTTGTTCCTTACAAACATATAAATATGTCAATTAAGACATTTTTCTTCCTGTTTAAAGATTATTCAATTACTGACATTGGTTGCAGCGGGGCCTTCTTGGTTAATACAACGGCATTATTTAAAGAGGTAGGCCTCTAAATGTCCTACCTACTAGTATTTCTGGTAATGAGAACTATTAATTAATCACATTTTTCCCAAACACTAGTTCAAGTTATCACCCTACCAGGACAAGCAATCCTCCTGAATATATTTCAATTTATATAAGGTTAGTATCTACTTTCAGGCCTAGCAGTGTAATTTCAATGGTCGTCACCTGGGAGTTGGGTTGTAACTCAATTATTATGACCTTTTTTAGGATCAAGTAGGGGTCATTCTTAACACTACTGACTACGTCATACAGGACAAAAGCAGGTATGTTTAAATAATAAAACCCAGCTAGGTTGTTCGTAAGGTTGTAATAAACCCTCGTCAATTAGGATAATCCCATAGGCCACTTCACCTATAGATAGTGGTCCCACAAGGCCAATAATCGATCCTACCAGCAGAGGTCCAAGCCTAATCGGCCCAACGCATAGTTATAGTCTTGCATCAAATCATAGTTAGGGTCTCACTCGTCACGGCCAATCGATAATTCAATCTTATACATGTCACCGAGAGGTAAACACCCCGCCACCCACCTCAAAGGCCCCATGAGCCAAATCATAGGTAGAGCCTCTCAAAGCCACTTGGTAAGTAGTTAGGGCGTCACCTATCACCTAAGATAGTATGTTAATACAATTTTGCCTTGGGCACTTGTAACGGCACCCCCAGACATAAAAGCGTTAAACCGCCGTTTAGTTGATCTTCCCTTCCAGAGATATATAGGCACAGCTACTTCAGAACACCAATCCGCCGAACAGGAAACCATATGAATCCTGTAAACAGCCGAATAGGAAAAACCATACGAATAGGTTTACACTCCTAGCAGTCAAACTGGAACAGCATATATAAATCCCCCCAATAACGAGACAAGGCTCTGTTTTGAGGGTCAAGCAGGAACAGACAGAGCTGTGGGTTTATTGTTCTTATATACACATTAGTACCACCCACAGGGTTTTGGAACACAACCAATAAACACATACAATACACTCAGACACTCCCACACAAAATCCTCCCCTCTGCCTGTGATACAATTACCTTACACAATGGGTAATGTAATTATCACAAGCAGAGAAATACACTTTTTCCACATTATTCATAACTTGAAAAGTATGCATCACATTCACATAAAACTTACATTTTCAGAATCAAATACAAACATATTTCAAAATCATCCAAATTGGTCCAGTGGTTCAAAAGATAGATCGTAGTCCTTTGTGACCAAAGGAAGCATGGCTTTTCTGCCCAAAACCAGTTCCACAGAGTCTTCTATCCTGGAGATAATTGGGAAGTAATCCAATTATCTCCAAAGACAGAGGCAAAACTCCATTGAACACATGGCAGCAAAAGACAATAAAACACATAAAAACATATAACTGTGCAGCCATTGCACAAAACAGGTACATTCAACATATCCCCAGATAGCTCAGATCTGAGCGCACATTATTACTGAATGGCGCTCAGAGCACACACATACAGTTCAATTGCCATGGAGCCAAAGTCTTTCCCATAGTCTTTCATTATACGAATGGGCTCCATGGCATAGCTATCTGGGGTATCACCGCTCAAACAGGGCCAGCACCGAATGACCCAGCTTTCCTGTCTTCACAGGGGAAAATAAAGCGTTTCAACATGGGGCCATAGTCTAAAGGCAGCAGGCAGGCAACCAGGCTCCTCCAATGCACAATGGCGAGATTGGTCTTGTCACAGCACTAATCTAGCAATCTGGGTTACTCCAGATCTACACGAGTACCATACTAACCAAGCTATCTGCCTCAAACCCTTAGCATGTCTAACACTTCCATACAAGGAGATGACCTGTCGGTTACCAGCACCCCAACCAGATCAGGCTCGCAGAGAAGCCCAGTGTCCAGCTATAGATCCTGGACAATTCCTAAAATCACCACGGAACTCAAAAAGAGGAATATCCCTTTCCTGGCCCCAGCCAGGAAAGCTGAACTTTTCGTTTGTTAAATACTTACAAGGACAACGAAAGGCCTGGCCCTGGTTCTAAGTTTAACGTGCAAAACAGCCAGTCAAACCTGCACGTGGTGATGGCCTCCCTAGTGTTTTCTGTACCCACGATTAATAATAGGTTGGATAATCTGGAGTCTAATAATACACCAACCATTCCGGAGGTTCCAGTACTTATAGCCCAGCCAGAGCCTAACCCAGGAGGTAACAATAACCCTTTACCCACCAAAACTACCAATATCATAAACCCTATTCACCTTATAACCACAAAACCTTAAGCGTGACATAATAGAGGGGAAAGACATTGTTATGGGCAAATGCAAATATTACAAGTTTTAGAATGAAATGTTGTATTTCTTAAACTGTGTACTTTTTCTTTAAGAGATATTGCAAACTGACAGGGTGTTAGAAATGGAACATATTGTTTTTCATAACTGTTTCTTTAAGCAATAACCCCAGTGCATAATATGTTTGCGCCATTTTGTCCCAGACGAATTATAATAACAATAATGCATAAACAAGCTTCAAGGCTATACTACGACTCTTGCAGTACACAATATACTGTGGTAACCCCAAGTTAATGGAACTTCCCCAAATCCGGGAATCTCCCACTACTGTACACTTACGACTTAGTATAAACAACAGATAACCTATTCAGACTTTAAGATGCCATCTTGAACTAAATCAGGAAAATTTCCATGACGTATACACCCTTTAGTTATGGCCTTGTATGTTTGCCAAATTAAGGAAGGTCCTAAAATGAAAAATGTAAAAGAAGTGTTACTTTTTCATATAATAAATATGAACTACGGTAACCTTAAAATGGAGACACCTAAGGTATAAATAGGTGTACTTTTAAATGTTAAGACACAGAGGAGAGACTTGGAGACAGACGCTGCTCCCTCTTAAAATGACAGAGAGGCTGACATGATGACATGTTCAGAAGGGTATGTTAACCTGTTAATGATATTTGCAAGCATTTAATTTAATCTTATAAACTCTGCTATAATGGATTATATGTCTATATTTATATTTTTATATAATAAATATCTAAAAGACAAACTATTGGTTCCAAGACAATCCTTATTTTATATTGTATTCTCAATTATTTATATATGTTAAATAGAGGATCTCTTACACTATATCAAATTATGGCTAAGATATCTGTATGGTTAACCCTACTAAGTTCTATGTTTTAAGACATTACAGGGAGTGCAGAATTATTAGGCAAATGAGTATTTTGACCACATCATCCTCTTTATGCATGTTGTCTTACTCCAAGCTGTATAGGCTCGAAAGCCTTCTACCAATTAAGCATATTAGGTGATGTGCATCTCTGTAATGAGAAGGGGTGTGGTCTAATGACATCAACACCCTATATCAGGTGTGCATAATTATTAGGCAACTTCCTTTCCTTTGGCAAAATGGGTCAAAAGAAGGACTTGACAGGCTCAGAAAAGTCAAAAATAGTGAGATATCTTGCAGAGGGATGCAGCACTCTTAAAATTGCAAAGCTTCTGAAGCGTGATCATCGAACAATCAAGCGTTTCATTCAAAATAGTCAACAGGGTCGCAAGAAGCGTGTGGAAAAACCAAGGCGCAAAATAACTGCCCATGAACTGAGAAAAGTCAAGCGTGCAGCTGCCACGATGCCACTTGCCACCAGTTTGGCCATATTTCAGAGCTGCAACATCACTGGAGTGCCCAAAAGCACAAGGTGTGCAATACTCAGAGACATGGCCAAGGTAAGAAAGGCTGAAAGACGACCACCACTGAACAAGACACACAAGCTGAAACGTCAAGACTGGGCCAAGAAATATCTCAAGACTGATTTTTCTAAGGTTTTATGGACTGATGAAATGAGAGTGAGTCTTGATGGGCCAGATGGATGGGCCCGTGGCTGGATTGGTAAAGGGCAGAGAGCTCCAGTCCGACTCAGACGCCAGCAAGGTGGAGGTGGAGTACTGGTTTGGGCTGGTATCATCAAAGATGAGCTTGTGGGGCCTTTTCGGGTTGAGGATGGAGTCAAGCTCAACTCCCAGTCCTACTGCCAGTTCCTGGAAGACACCTTCTTCAAGCAGTGGTACAGGAAGAAGTCTGCATCCTTCAAGAAAAACATGATTTTCATGCAGGACAATGCTCCATCACACGCGTCCAAGTACTCCACAGCGTGGCTGGCAAGAAAGGGTATAAAAGAAGAAAATCTAATGACATGGCCTCCTTGTTCACCTGATCTGAACCCCATTGAGAACCTGTGGTCCATCATCAAATGTGAGATTTACAAGGAGGGAAAACAGTACACCTCTCTGAACAGTGTCTGGGAGGCTGTGGTTGCTGCTGCACGCAATGTTGATGGTGAACAGATCAAAACACTGACAGAATCCATGGATGGCAGGCTTTTGAGTGTCCTTGCAAAGAAAGGTGGCTATATTGGTCACTGATTTGTTTTTGTTTTGTTTTTGAATGTCAGAAATGTATATTTGTGAATGTTGAGATGTTATATTGGTTTCACTGGTAATAATAAATAATTGAAATGGGTATATATTTGTTTTTTGTTAAGTTGCCTAATAATTATGCACAGTAATAGTCACCTGCACACACAGATATCCCCCTAACATAGCTAAAACTAAAAACAAACTAAAACTACTTCCAAAAATATTCAGCTTTGATATTAATGAGTTTTTTGGGTTCATTGAGAACATGGTTGTTGTTCAATAATAAAATTAATCCTCAAAAATACAACTTGCCTAATAATTCTGCACTCCCTGTATAGTGGTAAATAAGGGAACCACCTGCGGTTACAACATTAATCTGGCTTCACTACTGATAGTTTCTCAAGACGTAATCGAGAACAGGTAGTCATGAAGTCTAGAGACCCAAGACTAAACAGGAAACGTAACATCCCTGAATTTGTCCTGGCCTTCGATCTATACAGAGACGTTATCTGTGTGGCTTTTCCCTCCGTAGAGAAGAACTTGACTTATACCTTCATAAAATCATTGACTTGGCATATAAGTACGGAGGCTACGCCTTTTACGATTATCACAAATCATTCGCAAGCAGATTAGCCGTATCACTGACCCAATACAATACAAACAGCGACTGGGGTCAGTTAGATACCGAACTGTTTCTAAGGCATTTTGCGGGTCTCAAAACACCTTCTTGCGATATATGCTCATCAGCAACCCATACGGTTAACTTTTGTCCTGACAACGTAGCAATTCCCTCGACCAGTAACGCCAACTCTGAATATCAACCTAACACAACCCAGAGAGAATTGAGAGACAAATTAGGCAGGCCAATCTTTTTTTGGGTAAAGCACAAGTCTGTAATAATTTCAATGCCGGTGGTTGTAGTTACAGTGCTTGCAGACTTCTTCATGTGTGTTCACTTTGTTACAGGGTGCACGCTAAAACAATGTGCCCAAACATGCTGTACCCTAAAAGATCCTCCACTCCAATAAACGTTCCTAATTTGCAATGCCACCTGTCTAATTATCCTTCTTTATATCTGGGAGAATTTCTCACATCTGGTTTTACTAACAGGTTTCACACAGGTTTTGTTACACTCCCCACGGGTATATTGGAATGCCCCAACCTACAGTCAGAACTCACAGACCCCAGTAGCATACAAGAACTCCTACTTAAAGAAATTAACAACGGTTTCATGATAGGGCCTTTCACAACCCCACCTTTCTCCTCCTGGAGAATAAACCCTCTAGGCATAGCTATAGGGAAATTTAATAATAAAAAGAGACTCATAATGGATTTTTCTGCACCTCACTCTTCCACTAGCCATAGCTTAAATGCACTAATTCCGTCAGAAGATTTCACCCTTCAGTACACAAGAATTGATGATGCCATACAAGCTATCATTCATTCTGGAAAGGCTGTGTGGTTAAAGGACCACTCTAGGCACCCAGACCACTTCAGCTTAATGAAGTGGTCTGGGTGCCTGGTCCAGCTAGGGTTAACCCATTTTTTTTTATAAACATAGCAGTTTCAGAGAAACTGCTATGTTTACAAATGGGTTAATCCAGCCCTCAATTCCTCTAGTGGCTGTCTCATTGACAGCCGCTAGAGGCGCTTGTGCGATTCTCACTGTGAAAATTCAGCCGGTTCCTATGCGACCGGCTGAATGCGCGCGCAGCTCTTGCCTCGAGTGCACATTCAGCCGAATGGGTGGAGAGGAGGAGGATCGGAAGAGGAGAGCTCCCCGCCCAGCGCTGGAAAAAGGTAAGTTTTAACCCCTTTCCAGAGCCGGGCGGGAGGGGGTCCCTGAGGGTGGGGGAACCCTCAGGGCACTATAGTGGTCCTTTAAGTAAATCTGACATTATTAATGCGTTCAAATTGCTACCTATACATCAGTCACTCTGGCACCTGCATGGCGTTAAGAGGGAAGACAGGTATTATTTCGCTAGCAGCCTAACTTTCGGCGCCAAAAGTAGCCCCAAGATTTTTTATATCTTCGCCGAAACTTTAACCTGGCTCCTACTTAATAAGTGCAGATGTCCAGTAGTCATCAACTATTCAGACTACTTCCTCACAATCGAACCACACCACTGCACACCAAGCAACCTACGTCACATGCTCTCTCTATTCAAAGATTTAGGAGTCCCTGTAGCCCCGGACAAAACAGGAGGTCCCAACACAGAGATGGGTATAACACTCAATTCCGTTTCTGTGCAAGTCAGCCTGCCCCAAGAGAAAGTAGACAGAATTCTTTCATACATCAACATCTTCACATCATACATCTTTCACCAGGAAACAGCTACAGTCACTACGCGGGTCACTTAATTTTGCGATGAGGATAATTCCACAGGGGAGGTAATTCATTTCCAGAATTCTCTTTCTTACACGGTCTCCCTGACGACGACTCCACAGCTCTCCTAGACGCACCAGCTAGAGCAGATCTTAAAATGTGGCATCCATTTCTGTCCTCTTGGAATGGCAGGTCGCTATTCGCTACCCCCATTTCTGACGATTCCCCGGACGCATCAGGTGTCATAGGTTACGCAGCAATTTTTGGTAATGACTGGGTGTACAACTCTTGGCCAGTAGAGACTACCTCGCTAGAGAATTTCAAAACCACCTCCGCATTATTCGAAATCTTTCCAATCGTAGCTGCTGCACACATTTGAGGTGAAGAATGGAAAGGGCAATCGGTCAGGTGCTTTTCAGATAACTTGGCGGCATGTAATATCATTAACAAAGGCCGCTCTCAGTCCCTTACAATTATGAACTTGGTCAGGAGACTTGCCTGGCTAGCGGCAAATCTACAATTCTGTATAAATTGCATTCACGTTCCAGGCATTTAGAATAACGCAGCTGACGCACTCTCATGCTCTAATTTGCAGGAATTTTTCAGAGTCCATCCGTCAGCAAATGCGCAACCCAGGGAACCAGCAAGCTTCACAGACCTAATAATGCTTTAAATACCCTGTTACACCATAGTAGGTCGCTCACACAGGCTGGTTTATCACTTAATACAAAAAAAAAAAAAAAAAGCCTATTCCAGAGCATATGATTTCTTTAAAAGATTTGTATGTGATTATCATCTAATAAAAATGTTTTTTTCATAGAAACCATGGTCGCATTTACAACTTTTTTCCCACATATCTCTTAAATTAGCTTACAATACAATCAAACTTTACTTAACGGGCATACAACACTACATGTTAACCAGTTATCCCAACAAAACTCCATTTCTAGCATCCTACCCAGTCAAATGTGTCCTTAAAGGTTTTCAGAGACTAACCATACATAATCCCATTAAGAGACTTCCCGTAGATAGTATACGGTTTAGGAGTATCTCTGATTTACTAGACAAGTCCCCTTTTGAGAAGGTCACGAACCTGAAAATTTAAATCCGCAGCCTACATAGCCTTCTACGGTTTCTTGAGACCTGTGGAGAAGGCATCCGATTTTAAGTCATGCCTTCAGCAAAAACACCTTACTAAAACGCAGGACCACTATATTCTGTCAATCGCTCATACCAAAACGAGCCAAACTGGTCCACCAGTAGAGTTTAAATATTATCTTACCTCTACCAAATGGTGTACAATCCACATTCTGGATAAACTAGTGGAAACTCAACTGTCTTCCAACCCTGAATCCCCACTATTAGCCATTCAAAGGGAAACCCCTAACCACCAAACAATTCATGCTCTACATTCGTACGTTATTACTCCGGCTAGGACACAACCCACAATCATTCTCTGGCCATTCGTTCCGTATTGGAGTAGCCGTAGCAGCCTCTGGTAATCACGTACCAACACATATCATTAAAAATATGAGACGGTGGAAATCATCCACAGACAACAGATACATGCCTAATCCTGAGAAAGAAATAAGATTAGCTTTCCGTGAAATGTCTAATGTATTGCTTAATAAACATGTATGACTTCAAGAATGGCTTCTTATATTTTTGCCCACTTTTACAGGTGTAACCTCATGTCAGTTTCGGAACACCTCAACTGACTTTGCTCTTACTATTTTTTTTTCATATTATACCATACGTCCTCTAAATGTGCCGTACACAAATGGAAGACTTGGCCTGTAATTGTGGGAGGGACTATGACCCCTATTTAAACCCAGTGAGCCCCTGCTTACCTGTCGTCAACAATCTCGGAAGTTCCCCTCCCACCGCACCCTTTATTTATTCTTATATCACCTAGGTAGGCTATCTTTTACAGGTCTAACCTCACGTCAGTTTCAACTGACTTTGCTCTTACAAAATTTTCTTCATATTATACCATATGTCCTCTAAATGTGCCGTACACAAATATATATACACACACACACACGTATTAAAATAAATAGAACAACAATACATAATAGTATAATATTTTCATATTTCTATGAAAATATTTTAGAATATATGATCGCCTCAAAGATGGCTCACCCGATGGCAGTGGTGGGCCAAAGAACCTCTTTCCTTCTACTAAAACCCCATGCAGGAACCACATTTTTCACCCAACATCCAGGGAACCAAAAAGTCTACTTTCATTGCAATCATAACTGCAATTGCATTCCACTGGAAGTAACCTAACCCTCACCCCTTTTTCTATTGAGGAAGTCACATGCCAGGTAGACTAATTTTGAACAGCACCCACCAGCCAGGTTTTCACCATCCCCTCCACCTTCCTTGTCTAGTTACCTTTTCATCACAGCAACCTTCCGAATCGATCCTACAGCAGATTTGGTCTACTATGGTATTTTAATTTAGACAATTTTCAGATTAAGTGTAAGTTAGGAATGTTCATATTACACCTGGCGTCATCCAATCTCTTGCTTAAGGTGGCAAAGTATCACCTACAAAACACAGCACTGAGTAACTAAATATATTCTGTTACATTACTATTAGCTTTTTATTGTGGGGTATTTCCCCTTATATTATACTTCTTAAAAAGCAATACAAATTTAAACATAATAATTTATCTTAGATGGCAGATAAAAAAAAGTTATGATAGAACTTCACAGGTTTTTTAACAATTGGGGGATTGTGTATTAAGGGGGTCCAAGTAGCAGAGTTCTCGCTTGTGACATGTCCTCCCACTGAGGTTGTATAATAGTAGCAGTACGGGTAGGGGTCACTTAGACTTCAGCCACGGCCTGAAATGCCATACAAACCAAAGGGGGACTCCATTGAACAGAGTTACATGAAATTATTCTGCGATGTCAGACTCTGAGCAACCTGTGTAACACTTCCCACAATCAGGGATAGACGGCCTTCTCTCTTTGCACATCATTTTCTTGAAAGAGTTTCTATATTCAATGCATTCATAGGTTTTGAATTTGTGTGAATTTACTGAATACTATTTAGAACAAAACCATTTATTTAGAACCGTAATGTAAAAACATAGTACATGGTTCGGCAACCTTCGGCACTCCTGATGATGTGGACTAAATCTACCATAATGCTCTTACAGCCATAATACCAGCAAAGCATCATGGGAGATGTAGGCCACAACAGCAGGTGTGCCGAAGGTTGCCTACCCCCGCCATATCATGTGATTTTTTTTGTAAAACAACATCTAAATAAAGGCTGTCCTTTATGGTGTTTTCATTTATTTCTTTAATTATGTATTTAAATGACATGTCTGGCATTTTGTGAAAATTAACCCCTTTGGTACCTCATATGTGTGAATGGCACTAACAAAGGAATGACCAAACAGATTTTGGCTTGTACAGCTGATGACAATCGTCTCCCCTTAATATAGAAATGCAATAAAAAAGCTATTTACCTCTGTAACCCATTTAACCTCAGTAAAAGCTTTAATGGTTTTTAATGGGGTAATGGAAGAAGGCACTGTCACTTGCAGAGACAACAGTTTTGCTTTATAAATCTTTTTCACATTCTGTGCTTTTCCTTTTTTGAGCTGTACATTAAAATATTCCTGTCATTCATTAAATCAATTTTTTGCTCTGTGAATTCTCCGATGCCTCATTAGATCATGCTTGTGTTTAAAACCTTTTCCACATTCGGGGCATTTAAATGGTTTTTCTCCTGTGTGAATCCTCTGATGCCTGTTCAGATCACCCTTTTGATGAAAACATTTCTCACATTCAGTGCACTTAAATGATTTTTCTCCTGTGTGAATCCTTCGATGCCGAATAAGATTTGGTTTTTGCGTAAAACATCTTCCACATTCATTGCATTTAAATGGAGTTTCTCCGGTGTGAACCCTTTTATGCGATACAAGTTTTCTGGCCTCGCTAAAACATTTTCCACATTCAAAACATTTAAATTTTGCTTCTCCTGTGTGAGTTGCCTGATGCATAACAAGATGAGACACATAAGTAAAGTTTTTTCCGCATTGAGAACATAAAAACTGTTTATCACATCTGATATTAATCTCATATATGTCAGACCCCGAAAAGAAGACTTTGTCCATTTCGGAAGGTGCCATCTTCTTTTCATTGTGAACTGACTGATTACTATTAAAGTTACAGTTATGATTAAAAGTCTCCAGACTAACTGGAAAGTTAAATATTGTTTCTGTAGTCTGAGGAGATGTACCCGATGTATATATGATAAATTTATCAACTTTCTTAGGTTCAATTATGGACTCCTTTGAAGTAAATTCTGGTGAATTTGGATTACTTTTCACATAACCTTTAATAACGCTAGATGTATCATCTGTCTGTGGATGTTCTGTGGGTGTAGAATTGTCAGTATCTGTAAGGTTCCCTTCTTCCCATGAGATTGGTTCCTCCTTAATATGAATAGATGGATGTTCTATCTGTGGATGTTCTGATGGAGTATAAATGGCTGTGAGATTCCCTTCTTCCCATGAGGCTGATTCCTCCTTAATATGAGTGCATGGATGGTTTGTGGGTGTAGAAATGTCTGTGAGATTTCCTTCTTCCCAGGAGGTTGGTTCCTGCTTAATAAATGCATGGTCTGTTACTTCTTCACCTGAAGGAGCTTCTGAGGAAATGCATGTTACACGCTCAGACTGTATTGAATTTTTGCGTTTCACAGAGGTTCCTACATCATTAATTTGATTTACAGATTCCTCTTGTGTTTCAGAATTGGGTGAAACAATATTCGTGTAAAATCCACCTGGAGCAGGTTTACCTTTTGGAATAAAAAGCACATTAATAACATCAGAAGTACCTCAATTGCCATGGTTTATGCATATTCTTTGGACTTATTGTCTACAGTATTTTGGAAAAGATTACAATGAATTTATATTGACTTACCAATTACAGTATCGGACAGGTAGTCCTCCATTATCACAACCTTGTTAATATCCTTATGTCCTTCTATATACTCCCACTCCTGCATGGAGAAATAGTCAGTGACATCCTCACTCCTTATAGGAACCTGACACACACGCAATGATACAGTCACCATTCAGACACATCCCTTGGGTTTTTGTCCCCCACAGTATATTGTCCCATTCTCAGCAGCCTCACCTCTCTGGTCAGCAGCTCAATGATCTGATTGGTCAGTTCCAAGATCTTCTGATCATGGTTTCTGTCATGGATCAGGGAGAGAGATGGGGGCACCATTCTGGGGCAAGCATTGTCACTGGGCTTCTTCACAACCATGTGATCCTAATATTGAAACCAAGTAAAAAGAGCTAAGTAAAAAATTATGCCTCACTGCGGTCCTCCCCATCCTCCTCTCTGGATCCAAAGTAAAGTGATACAAGAAAGATAAACCTGCATGTGGGATTCAATCCACCTCAAACAATGTTCTGCAAGATGCCCTGTGACCTGACAAACTAAAGACTAACGTGCACAGAGTCAAAACTGAGCAAGTAGAAAAGTTGTTTAAATAATTTACATGCATCCATATTATTGCCACTATAATCAGTAACGTTTTACTGCTTCTTGACACCTGTTTGCATTATTATTTTAATTGTGTCCCTGAAAAGGTCCACACTAGTGGAGGAAATGCATTGGACAGGTATATATATATATATATATATATATATATATATATATATATATATATATAATAGAAAATAGAGAGAGCACACTAGGACTTCTTCTCAGTGGAAAAAAGTAGTTTTTACTGTATCATAAAATAATACATATCCTGTGCAAAATACAGAAAATCGACGTTTCGACCCTCCTGGGGTCTTTATCAAGATATATATATATATTAATTTTGTATTAAATTGCATCACATAAATCGTATTCAAACCTGGAGAAAAATATCCTGGCTTTCTGATTTATTGTGGACGGTGTCTACAGCAAGAGGAACCAAAAGAAGGTGATAGCCCCCAGCCTTTACCAGGGGAGGCACCCCAAGGCGCAGTTTCTCATACACCCCAAGTGCATTTCTTACTGTATCTAACTATATTACATTTGGTTTTTATTTTATCCTTTATAGATGCTTAGCTGATTCCCAAATATTGTTTTTATTAGGGATCGACCGATTATCAGTTTTACCGATATTATTGCCCGATATTTGGTATTTTCGGCAATATCGGCATCGGCCAATAGAGATACTGATATTGCCGATAATATATACCAGGACCGCCGGGCTCATTAGAAGCCCGGCAGTCCTGAGGGGCCCGCAGGAAGCTGTTACTTCCCAGCAGCTCCCATGTCAATTCTCGCGAGACCCGCGGCCGCAGAGCATTGCCACGGGTTACCATGGCAACGCTCTGCGCTGCACACAGACCGCGAGAGTTAGACTGGGGAGCTGAAGGGAGGTAACAGCTTCCCGTGGGCCCTCCCACTGCACAGCCAATGCCACTGGACCACCAGGGAATGCCATGGCCCCCTTCCCAGGCCAGGTAACAAGCAGGGAGAGGGGGACAAAGATAATAAAACATTATTCAAATTAAAATAAAAAATGCCTCCCCTCCTGCCCATTTTACACAAATTACGTCCCTTCACAAACACACACTATACAAACACACACACTGCATTATATACACACACTACACAAACACACTGCATTCATTATATACACACTACACAAACACACACAAACACTGTATTCATTATATACACACTACACACACACACACACTCTGCATTATATACACACACTATACAAACGCACACTGCATTCATTATATACACACACTACACAAACACACACACACACACACTGTATTCATTATATACACACACTATACAAACACTGCATTATATACACACACACTATACAAACACACTGCATTATATACACACACTATACAAACGCACACTGCATTCATTATATACACAAACTATACAAACACACACTGTATTCATTATATACACAAACACACACTGTATTCATTATATATACACACACACACCATTCATTATATACATACGCACTACATAAACACACACTACATTCACTATACACATACACTGCATTTACTATATATCTATATATAGATATAGATACACACACACACACTACACACTCACTGCATTCACTATACACACTACACAAATACACCCTGCTCCCCTGTCTAAACACACTGCATCCACTACACATGGCAAGTATATTTTGTGCATTTACCTTTAAAAATAGTTTATTTTTTCAAAATGATAAATGTACAGAATATCGGCAAATTATTGGCCGGAAAGTTCACAGATTACCGGTACCGGTCGATCCCTAGTTTTTATATTGTGTTCAGTAACATTTTACAATGAAAAACAAACATGTCTGTTAAAGAGTGAAAGGCAATTCACTGAAGATGAGGCAAAATTGAAGAGAAGTGTCCAGTGGAGAAGAAAGGCCACCAGCTTTGTCATCTGTTTACCTAGCTGGCTCGTGTACACAGTCATTTTGAATCTGAATGGGAAGATGTCCATTTAACCAAATTCAAGAGTGGTGGTTACACTGGTTGGAAACGAAGGGAATTATGATCAGAGAATGATTAATAAGGGATTCCGATGTGTTGAGGGAGGCTTTAAGAATTACATGATGTCTGCTCACAACTATATACAGCAGCCAGCTATGCCACGTAGTAGAAGCTGCAGATTGAGACACAATGCTGTGCATGTAGAGGACAAAGGAGAAAATGTTTGTGTTTAATTCTTCTGGAGAAAAGAACTAACCAGCGTCAACAGAGACACAGATGCAAAGATACGTACCCAGAAAATTGCGCAGATGTTAGAAAGTGCTATATACCAGATGTGTTCTATGCTGCATTGATCTTTGTGTTCCACCAATAAATATGGACAAGTAAAACCCAAAGTTGAACACAGTAATTATCACTACCACCACCATGCTAGTTTACTAGATAAAATGCCAACTGACAGGACAGAAAGATAGAAACTTCGCCTACTGAAAGAACTATTAGATTACCCAGGATCCCTCACCTCTCCAGTCAGCAGGTAGATGATCTCCATAATGACATTACCCAGAATCCCTCACCTCTCCAGCCAGCAGGTACATGATCTCCATAATGACATTACCCAGAATCCCTCACCTCTCCAGTCAGCAGGTACATGATCTCCATAATGACATTACCCAGAATCCCTCACCTCTCCAGTCAGCAGGTAGATGATCTCCATACTGACATTACCCAGAATCCCTCACCTCTCCAGTCAGCAGGTAGATGATCTCCATAATGACATTACCCAGAATCCCTCACCTCTCCAGTCAGCAGGTAGATGATCTCCATAATGACATTACCCAGAATCCCTCACCTCTCCAGTCAGCAGGTAGACGATCTCCATACTGACATTACCCAGAATCCCTCACCTCTCCAGTCAGCAGGTAGATGATCTCCATACTGACATTACCCAGAATCCCTCACCTCTCCAGCCAGCAGGTAGATGATCTCCACAATGACTTTTCCCAGAATCCCTCACCTCTCCAGCCAGCAGGTAGATGATCTCCATAATGACATTACCCAGAATCCCTCACCTCTCCAGTCAGCAGGTAGATGATCTCCATGGTGACATTACCCAGAATCCCTCACCTCTCCAGTCAGCAGGTAGATGATCTCCATACTGACATTACCCAGAATCCCTCACCTCTCCAGTCAGCAGGTAGATGATCTACATAATTACATTACCCAGAATCCCTCACCTCTCCAGTCAGCAGGTAGATGATCTCCATACTGACATTACCCAGAATCCCTCACCTCTCCAGTCAGCAGGTAGATGATCTACATAATTACATTACCAAGAATCCCTCACCTCTCCAGTCAGCAGGTAGATGATCTCCATACTGACATTACCCAGAATCCCTCACCTCTCCAGTCAGCAGGTAGATGATCTCCATAATGACATTACCCAGAATCCCTCACCTCTCCAGTCAGCAGGTAGATGATCTCCATACTGACATTACCCAGAATCCCTCACCTCTCCAGTCAGCAGGTAGACGATCTCCTATGACATTACCCAGAATCCCTCACCTCTCCTGTCAGCAGGTAGATGATCTCCATGGTGACATTACCCAGAATCCCTCACCTCTCCAGTCAGCAGGTAGATGATCTCCATGGTGACATTACCCAGAATCCCTCACTTCTCCAGTCAGCAGGTAGATGATCTCCATAATGACATTACCCAGAATCCCTCACCTCTCCAGTCAGCAGGTAGATGATCTCCATACTGACATTACCCAGAATCCCTCACCTCTCCAGTCAGCAGGTAGATGATCTCCATAACTGACATTACCCAGAATCCCTCACCTCTCCAGTCAGCAGGTAGATGATCTCCATACTGACATTACCCAGAATCCCTCACCTCTCCAGTCAGCAGGTAGATGATCTCCATAATGACATTACCCAGAATCCCTCACCTCTCCAGTCAGCAGGTAGATGATCTCCATAATGACATTACCCAGAATCCCTCACCTCTCCAGTCAGCAGGTAGATGATCTCCATACTGACATAACCCAGAATCCCTCACCTCTCCAGTCAGCAGGTAGATGATCTCCATGTGACATTACCCAGAATCCCTCACCTCTCCAGCCAGCAGGTAGATGATCTCCATATGACATTACCCAGAATCCCTCACCTCTCCAGCCAGCAGGTAGATGATCTCCATACTGACATTACCCAGAATCCCTCACCTCTCCAGTCATCAGGTAGATGATCTCCATACTGACATTACCCAGAATCCCTCACCTCTCCAGTCAGCAGGTAGATGATCTCCATACTGACATTACCCAGAATCCCTCACCTTCCCAGCCAGCAGGTAGATGATCTCCATACTGACATTACCCAGAATCCCTCACCTCTCCAGTCAGCAGGTAGATGATTTCCAGGGTGAGATCCAAGATCTTTTCAGTCATTAGATTCCTGTGCTTGTTCATTTGTATTCATTCAGTCAGATGCTTGCAGAATGGCCTTTGGTCTGTGACCACTGTAGTTCTGTAAATAAAGATATATATACACAGTATCTATTTATTGATATATTATTATAATACCCAGTATCTAGTTATTGATATATTATTATTATACCCAGTATCTATTTATTGATATAATATTATTATACCCAGTATCTATTTATTGATATAATATTATACAGAGTGATACCCAGTATCTATTTATTGATATATTATTATACAGAGTGATACCCAGTATCCAATTATTGATATATTATTATTATTATACCCAGTATCTATTTATTGATATATTATTATTATACCTGGTATCTATTTATTGATATATTATTATTATACCCGGTATCTATTTATTGATATATTATTATTATACCCAGTATCTATTTATTGATATATTATTATTATTATACACGGTATCTATTTATTGATATATTATCATACCCAGTATCTATTTGATATATTATTATTATTATACCCAGTATCTATTTATTGATATATTATTATTATTATACCCAGTATCTATTTATTGATATATTAATTTTATTATACCCAGTATCTATGGGTCTCCCTGACAGTCACTAAAGGCTGCTTGCGCGATTGTCAGTGTGAAAATCACATTGAACTCATGCAGCGTGAGTTCAGATCCCCATAGGAAAGCATTAATTAATATCCACCATTATCAATGTCCCACCATCTTACTATACCCACCATTATCAGTGTCCCACCACCATCTTACTATACCCACCATTTTCAATTAATTAATGCTTTCCTATGGGCACTTTGAAGGCTCGTGCAGCTCTGGCCATGCATGTGCATTCGGCTCCACTCGGGAGCTGACGTCGGCAGAGAAAGGAGAGGTCACCAGCACCGGCGCTGAATTAAGGTAAATGGCTGAAGGGGTTTTAACCCCTTCAGCCCAGTGGGAGGGGGGGACCCATTAACCCTATGGTGCCACTATAGTGTTCCTTTAATAGCATCTCTGTGACATTATTTGTGTATGCTGTATTTTGCCAAATAAATTATAAAGTGGGAAAAAAAATTCAAAACAATCAACTTAAAGGACATCAGTCATCACATGTTCACTTTTCATTTTTTTTAAAGTTTATTACATTAAATTCACGTTTTTATCTGGCTGAGCAGTCATGTTGGTCAGACTCTACAGTTATCTTGACAACTCCTGCAGTTTCACACAGAGCAATCGGAGTACCAGGCAAGTTAAATCGAGCTGCAGCTGGTCAATGAAAAATGTGATGACTGTTCTTTTACATCATTGAATCTTCTTGGCTTATGCTAACAAAGTCACTGTGCAATTTGAAAAAGTAAATATATATAAAAGTATAAAACTTCGTTGAATCACTGTGACTTCACTCCATATTAAGTATGCTATATGACTGGTTGCAGTCTCTTTTTAAAGCATCACGGTCACGGGACTTTGCAGAATTCTCAATGGCCCCAGACGGTGACATCACTGCTGGGGGGTCCGGTGACCAGGGGGAAGAAGTATAGGTTAGTTACCAGGAGTTGATATCACTGCTGTACGCTTGCACATGCACAAGAGTACAGCTTTGAGGTCTATGGAGGATCCTGCGAGATCCTTTAATAGACTGAGACAGTTTTGAAAGAAAAAAATGAATGTTACTACAACAAACTGAAAAGCTGTACAGATATGTATAGCAAATTAAAAAAATGTTAATTAAAAATTCTAACTGGAAAGAAAATTATTACTAGAAAATAAGGACAAAGCAGAACTTGGGATACAAAGAAATAAGGCAAGAAATTAAAAAAGGGAGAAAAACAAGAACTATTTAGTTTTACAATGCATTATCCATCTGGCCCTCAATGGAGTAAACATTATTGAGCAGAGCTTTGTGTCAGGCTGGTGTGCAGTGTAAGTTATAACTCTAGCTGACACTGAGAATGGCCCACCCCATCCTACTATGCCCACCATTATCAATGTCCCACCACCATCTTACTATACTCACCATTATCAATGTCCCACCACCATCTTACTATACCCACCATTATCAATGTCCCAGCACCATCTTACTATACCCACCACTATCAATGTCCCAGCACCATCTTACTATACCCACCATTATCAATGTCCCAGCACCATCTTACTATACCCACCATTATCAATGTCCCAACACCATCTTACTATACCCACCACTATCAATGTCCCACCACCATCTTACTATACCCACCATTATCAATGTCCCAACACCATCTTACTATACCAACCATTATCAATGTCCCACCACCATCTTACTATACCCACCATTATCAATGCCCCAACACCATCTTACTATACCCACCACTATCAGTGTCCCACCACCATCTTACTATACCCACCATTATTAATGTCCCACCACCATCTTACTATACCCACCATTATCAATGTCCCACCACCATCTTACTATACCCACCATTATCAATGTCCCACCATTATCAATGTCCCAGCACCATCTTACTATACCCACCATTATCAATGTCCCAGCACCATCTTACTATACCCACCACTATCAATGTCCCAGCACCATCTTACTATACCCACCATTATCAATGTCCCAGCACCATCTTACTATACCCGCCATTATCAATGTCCCAGCACCATCTTACTATACCCACCATTATCAATGTCCCACCACCATCTTACTATACCCCCCACTATCAATGTCCCACCACCATCTTACTATACCACAGGTATCAATGTCCCACCATTATCAATGTCCCAGCACCATCTTACTATACCCACCATTATCAATGTCCCAGCACCATCTTACTATACCCACCATTATCAATGTCCCAGCACCATCTTACTACACCCCCATTATCAATGTCCCAGCACCATCTTTCTACACCCCCCATTATCAATGTCCCAGCACCATCTTACTACACCCCCCATTATCAATGTCCCAGCACCATCTTACTATACCCCCCACTATCAATGTCCCAGCACCATCTTACTATACCCACCATTATCAATGTCCCAGCACCATCTTACTATACCCACCATTATCAATGTCCCAGCACCATCTTACTATACCCACCATTATCAATGTCCCACCACCTTACTATACCCACCATTATCAATGTCCCAGCACCATCTTACTATACCCACCACTATCAATGTCCCAGCACCATCTTACTATACCCACCATTACCCCATTAATGCGTGTAGCCCCCCCTCAATGCGTGTAGCCCCCCCTCAATGCGTGTAGCCCCCCCTCAATGCGTGTAGCCCCCAATGTGTGGCCCCCCCCTCAATTGTGTAGCCCCCCTGTGTGTAGCCCCCCCCCCTCAATGTGTGTAGCCCCCCTCAATGTGTGTAGCCCCCCTCAATGTGTGCCCCCCCTTTCTCTGTAACCCTGGGCTCTCCATCCCCCTGAAGGCTCCTTGATCTGTAATGGCTGACCCCAAGGAGGATAAACCCCCATCACAGGCAGTGTTATTGCTGGAGACCCCCCTCCCCCGCCATAATGGATCCGTCCAGGGTGACATGCAGTCTGATTACCTTTCCCTCGCGGTACACGGACTGTGCAATGTGTGTTAAACAGGGGACAATCACCACGCTCAGCACGCAAAATCCTCCCCACCACTTCCGGGTTATGGAACGCTATCACTTCCTGTTTGCGTTCCATTCATGGCTCAGCTCTGCGTTCCAGCTGCTTCCGGGTTTCCTGTGTCATGAATTGCTGTGTGTCAGTGGTGATGGTGCCGAGGCAGCCAGTGTGATAGAAAGCCAGTGTTAGCTGTATATAGCATGTATTAGGAGCCTGTGTGATCTCTCTGTAAGATTTATCTGTAATATAGTCACAGTGACTGGCTGCTCACTCCCATCACACACATCCAGCCATATACCTGGCAACTGGCTGGCAGAGCATGATGGGAATTGGAGTCCCCAGCAGCTGGAATGCGTCTCTCACTGGGTTTTCCTCTAGTTATTATGATCTGGATAGAGAATGCTGTCAATGTTTATTGTAGATTTGCCCCTCGCTAGCTTTGCTTTTCGTTGTAATTAATAGAGATTTATTTATTTATTGATTTATTCTTGTTTGTAGCGGATAGAGATCAATGTACAGGTTATGGAAAGCATTGTGAGGCGTTATCTTTTCTAATACCCTGATATTCAGTATCATTTATTTCATATTTATATTATGTTGTTTCTATGTGAGGGAGTGAATAATGTATTAATCATGTATGTTCTGTTAATCTATGTTTTGTGCATGCTTATGAACTGTCTGAAAGCTAAGGGTATTTTGCTATGTTTATCACTATTTAATATCAAATATTTCTTCATTTTGGTCCGATTTGGAGTGTGTTGTCTTGGAGACGTGTCATTTGATGCTCGCGCATGACTCTAGCATGCATGACATGGTTAATTCATGTAATCGGGTGTGGACATTACATCTGGGTGTCCATGGCGCAATGCTCCAGATTGTCCAATGGCAGTTGTAAATCATGAATATTGAGATCTTTTTTACTGATTTTGATCTATTTATATTTTTATGAGTGAGTGAGTGACATTCTTTCCTACTGTGTTGGGCTATACAAGGCAGTTGCTGTGGGTACGTTTTCAAGTAATAAGTTAGAGCACTGTACATTGAGAGAATGTGGTTATAACATACTGGGTTTTCATAAATATATTCAGTTATACCCATACTCTAGCATACAACCATGCTTACAACCATTACCACACTCTCCTACGCATACAATACAGCCAGGACAGTCTTATCTTCCAGAGCGTCTTGAGAAAAAGATGATTTTACCAGGAAGCTGTCCAGACTGCACTGAATACCAAACCTAAACTAAGTTACATTTACTGTGTAAAGTTACTGTATGTGTCTATTATTAATATTATCCTTTAAATAAACTGTTATACATGTATTTAAATCAAATGCATTTGTGCCTGTTACTCCATATTAAAGTATCTCTGTCACCACAATAACATTTATGAGTTTTTAATAACAATATACAGAGCTATTGTCTATAGTGAGAATTCAAAGTGAATTTCAAATTGTAGGCTAAAATAGCTGAACTGAACTTATAGCTGGCTTAGCAAAATTTCTGAGTGTGTTATTTTGGCTTTAAAGGGACGCTATAGTCACCAGAACAACTATGGCTTAATGTAGTTGCTCTGGTGAATAGAATCATAACCTTCAGGCATTTTTATGCAAACACTGCCTTTTCTGAGATAATACAGTGTGTACATTGCCCCTAGGGACACCTTCAAGTGGCCACTCCTCAGATGGCCACTGGAGGTGCTGCCTGGCTCAGTGCTGCACAGTAGGCAGCAGTGCTGTTCAGCGTCTCCACACTCTGCATGGGGACGCTGAATTTTCCTCATAAAGATGCATTGATTCAATGCATCTCTATGAGGAGGTGCCGATTGGACAAAACAGCGTTTGGCCCCGCCCCTTGCCGATTTTATAGAAAAAAAAATCGGCAATTCTGATGATGTCACTAAAGGGACAGAGCCAGCGCCGGCGGACCCACGCGGCGCTGGAAATAAGGTGAGATTTATTAACGTTTAAGGGGGGACAAGCCACCTGAATGGTGGGTTTTGCACTATAGGGTCAGGAATACAAGTTTGTGTTCCTGACCCTATATTGTTCCTTTAAATTTGAAATTCACATTAAATTCTCAGTTTAGTGAATAACCCTGATAATCTTGAAATTCCAAAGCAGGGACTACTTTGTCTAATGGTAAAGCCCGAGTTGACAAAAGATAATGCTTTTCACTATCAAGTTTTGTCACTTCCCACTGCTATCGCGCATGCACAAGTACCAGGCTCACCAGTCCCACTGCTATCGAGCATACACAAGTACCAGGCTAGAAGTGCTTGTTGGCTTCTCACAGAATCTAACTCCATGAAACAATGTTGGACGTGCTCACGCTTTGCATGAGGACATCATGAGGATTATCACTGACTGCGTGTCAGATACTGAGATTATCACTGACTGCGTGATAATCCACAGGAAGGCATTGATTCCATGCTTTTCTATGGAAAAAGCTCTAATGCGCGTGTGGCGTTTGTGTGCATGCTCAATAGGTTACAACATTGGCGTGATATCGCTGGAGGAGGAGGTCGATACAGAGACGAAGGGTATCAGTGCTGGAATTAATGTAAGTTTTAAAAGGGGGGGGATGGACCTAAAGTTAGGGACAGAGGCATACTATTGCATTAGGAATACAGTTTTATATTCCATTTTTAGGGTGTGGCCAGGGGCGGGTTATTTGGAGAAATTTTAGGTGACTTACTATATACAGTATAAGCAAATAAAATGCACTTTAGAACAAAATCAATATATTTTATTAACACAAACTGATTTCTAAACTCATTTATTGCATTACTGGGAGTAATTATTGCTGTGGAGCTCTGTTATACACTCAGACACATTACTGGGAGTATTATTGCTGGGGAGCTCTGTTATACACTCAGACACATTACTGGGAGTAGTATTGCTGTGGAGCTCTGTTATACACTCAGACACATTACTGGGAGTAGTATTGCTGTGGAGCTCTGTTATACACTCAGACACATTACTGGGACTATTATTGCTGTGGAGCTCTGTTATACACTCAGACACATTACTGGGAGTATTATTGCTGTGGGGCTCTGTTATACACACAGACACATTACTGGGAGTAGTATTGCTGTGGAGCTCTGTTATACACTCAGACACATTACTGGGAGTATTATTGCTGTGGGGCTCTGTTATACACTCAGACACATTACTGGGAGTAGTATTGCTGTGGAGCTCTGTTATACACTCAGACACATTACTGGGAGTAGTACGGTATTGCTGTGGAGCTCTGTTATACACTCACACACACCCATAATATGTAGGGTTACCAGACATCCCGATTTGACTGTGATTGTCCCGGTTTCCAAGTACTGTCCCTGCGTCACACAGCTACACCAGGGCCAGCACGCTGTTGGGGCCCATCGGGTGTCCCTTACTCTTAAAAGACCACTATGGGCACCCAGACCACTTCAGCTTAATTAAGTGGTCTGGGTGCCAGGTCCACCTAGGAGTAGCCCTTTCTGCTGTAAACATAGCAGTTTTAGAGAAACTGCTATGTTTACTTTAGGGTTAATCCAGCCTCTAGTGGCTGTCTCATTGACAGCCGCTAGTGGCGCTTCTCACTGTGAAAATCAGTGAGAAGACACCACTGTCCATAGGAAAGCATTGAGAGTGCTTTCCTTTGAGACTGGCTGAATGCGCGTGCGGCTCTTGCGCATTCAGCCAATGACGGAAGAAGAGGGAGGAGATTCTCCAGCACCGAGGGAGCCTGGTGCTGGAAAAAGGTGAGTGTTTAACCCCTTCCTCTGCATCCAGCCCGGCGGGAAGGGGACCCCTCAGGGCACTAAAGTGCCAGGAAAACTAGTATGTTTTCCTGGCACTATAGTGTTCCTTTAAGGACACTCGATTGGCATCACTGATCAGGGGCCTGGCCTGTCAGATGCTGCTAGGAGGATTTCAGGTGAAGTCACCCTCCAGCACCCAAATGGTATAGTAACAGGAAGGTGGCTAAAAGTATGGAAATAATGACTTGTTTGTATTGTTGTGTGTATTTGTATCTCTCTGTGTCTGTGTCAGCATGTGTGTGTATCGGTGTCAGTATGTGTATCAGTGTTTTTGTGTATCTGTGTAATTATGTGTGTGTGTGTGTGTATCTCAGTGTGTATATATGTGTGTATGTGTATCTGTGCCAGTATATGTGTGTCAGTGTGTATGAGCATATGTATGTGTATCTGAGTGAGTATATGTGTCAATGTGTATGCGTATCTGTGTCAATATGTGTGTGTCCTTGTGTATGTGTATCTATGCCAGTGTGTATGTTTATATATGTGTGTGTCAGTGTTTATGAGTATGTGTGTTTGTCAGTGTGTATGTGTATCTGAGTGAGTATATATGTGTGTCTGTGTGTATGTGTATCTATGCTAGTGTGAATGAGCATGTGTGTGTGTGGTCGCGTGTATGAGTATATGTGTGCGTGTCAGTGTGTATGAGTATATATGTGTGTCTGTGTATCTGAGTGAGTATATGTATCTATGCCAATGTGTGTATATGTGTGTATGTGTATCTATGCCAATGTGTATGAGTATATATGTGTGTGTGTGTATGTATATATATATATATATATATATATATGTGTGTGTGTGTGTGTGTGTATATGTGTGTGTGTGTATGTATATATATGTGTGTGTGTGTAT